TAGTATTTATTTTTAAAATATTTTAAAGAAAAAAAATCACGGGGGGAGACAGGGAAAACTTTTGCTTTTAAATCACTTTGGGAAACCCTAGTTAAACCCTGTCTATTTCCCTTTCAGGGGTTTAACATTTTCCTTTCAATACTATATCCCCTTAAATATTTTTTTTTCATAATATGATTCCTTACTCATTTAAGCAATTTTTTTTGGGACTATTTTTGTTTTTTTTTTTAAATTAAAAAAAAATTTTTACTATACAGAAATAATAATTATAAATCTTGGCCATTAAACCCCTGCTAGGTCATTTTTGTCCCTCTACAATATAAAAATCTTTGATAACCCCATTTGGTAAGAAAGGGATGAAAGGAAAAAAATTTTAAAAGATGTAAAGGCCCAGTTTTTTTTCTTTTTTTATTTTGTATGTATTTGCAGATAGATAGCACTTGCGCACAAAACAAAAAGGGTCATTGGTTGAGGGGGTTAACAGTGAGAAAGGGGGGCAGTTGTACCTCTTTTCCATTTGAAAGGTCAGTGTACAAGAAGTCTCCAAGTTAAAAACATTGGCACTTGTGAGTGGGGCATTTACGAAAAAATTTAAAATTTTTGCAACAGTGATTTGCAGTAAAAATGTGTTTTTTGGAAATATAACCCAAAAGCCTTCAAGGGGAAAAAGGGGAAAAATATCTTCACCAGGTATCAGATCAACCAGGCTGTGATAGATATGGGGGGGCAGCAGGCCTTCAGCAGCAACAGCCTGGTTGACAGGCAAACCCAGATGACCCCCGGGCCCCAGGGCCCGGGCCCCAAGGGATTTAGTGAAACTCTCGAAACTTTTAAAAAGGTATATCTTTTCACTTTGGGCTTCTAAAAAATGAAAAAAAAAACATTTGATTATGTGGGGAGTTTGGTAAAAGGGTGTTGAATGATGATAAAAGTATTTTTTTTTTGGGGGAAAATTTTCTTTATTTTGGGTCCCCCTGCCCCCTGTGGGGAGGGCCCCCGACTTGTTAAAAAAAAAAATTAAAAACAGGTTTTAAAAAATTGAAAACCCAGAATGCGGTGTTTGAAAGGGGAAAAGCGGAGTTAAAAGTTGTAAGTTGAAAATACCAGGAATGTAGTCTTTTTTTTGCTGGAAAAAAAAATTTACATAAAAAATTTTTTGATAAAATGTATTATATAATTTTAATTATGTTTTTTATGTATATGTTTTGGGAAAGAAAATTTTAAAGGGATTGGATGTAAAAAAGTGGGTTTTTAGTAAGTGTGTATGCATGGAGAAGAGGAAGTGTAGAGGAGAGAGAGAAATTCTGGGAAAATTTTAAAGTGAATGTGGGGGGGGGATTTTTGAATCAAGTGGGGAGAGAATGGTGGTTGGGGATTTAAATGCTAAAGGGGGGTTTAAAAAATGTTTAGGGGGAGTAGAAGTAGTTGGGGTTTTAAATTTCGGATCCCCAGGGGTAAATTTTAAAAAGGGGGGGGCCTTTTAAATTTGAGCTATGTGTGAAAAAAAAATTTGGTAATAAGTAATACATTTTTTATGAAAAAAAAAGATAAAAAAATATAAAAGGGTTTATGTTTGTAGCACGTAATGAAAGTTTTTTTGTTGGGATTATGTATTGGTGGATAAAAAGGGGTTGATGGGGGAGGCTCCAGGATTTTAAATGTTTTTTAGGGGGGAAAATGATAAATCGGATCATTATTTAGTTGTGCTACAGTTAGGGTAAGAGTTGTTGGGGGAAAAGGAGGGGAAAGGGGGCAACAACAAGTAAGGGGAGGTGGAAAAAATGTTTTAAACTAAGGGGGGAGGAAGTTCGGGCGAGATATAAAAGGGCTTAGGCAGAAAAGGGGGGCTAGTGCAAAGATGAGAGTGGGGGGGGTTGAAAAAGGGTTGGAAAAAGTTTTAAAAAAAAGCGTTTTTAGAAATTTTGGGGGGAAGGGTTTTTGGGTTTTAGGAGGGTGGGGGCAGGAGGAAAGAGGAGTGATTGGTGGAATTTATGAAAATAAAGGCTGTGAAAAAAGAGAAAAAGGGGTTTCTTTCGAGAGGTTTTTTACAAAAAAAGAAATGTTTTTAAGAAGAGCAGAGTATATGGAGAGTTTAAAAAAAAGGTGAAAAAGGGGTGGGGAGAGGTGCAAAGGAGAGGGAGATGAAAGAGTGGGGGAGGCAAATTCAGAAATTTTAATGAAATTAAGAAAAAAAATTTTGGGTGAGTTAAAAAGTTTAAAAAAAAAAAAAAAAGCCTAGGGAAAATATGGATTTTTCAGTTTAAAAAAAAAAAAGTAGGGGAGTTTGTTGATGGGGAGAGGGAAAGGGATTTGGTAGATGGAGAGAATTTTTTTGAGGAACTTTTAAATGTTTAGGAAGAAAAGGGGGGCGGTAATTTTATGCCCCTGGGCCGGGAGGTTTTTACCATTTTTTTAGGAGTGAAAAAAGAGCGAAAAGTAAGTTGGGGGAGGTCAAGAGGCTTACGTTTGAATGAAAGGGGGTTTTAAAAAAAGTGGAAAATGGGTGGGAAAAGGGCAGAAATGTTTTTTAAAAAGGGGGGGTTTTTTTGTTGGAGGGTTGGTACTTTTGTTTAATAAATATATGTACCCCGGGATTGGCAGGGCATGTATGTCCCTTTTTATAAAGGGGAAAAGGGGGCAAAAAAGATTGTTAAAAAAATTTTAGAGGAAAAAAGTTTACTGGGTATACCCGGGAAAAAAATTTTCGGGAGGGTTATAAAATTTAAAAAAATTTGAGGGGAAACAAGAACGTTTTTGGATTGGTTTAAACAAGGAGGTTCAGAGGGGGTTGGGGATGTTAGATCAAGGGGGTTTACATTGAAGAATATGTGAAAAGTATTTGTTTAAAGGGAGGGAAGTTTTTTTTGCATTTATGGATTTTGGGAAAAGGGATATGATAGAGTGGAAAAAGGGAGCAAAGTGGAGATGTTGCAATTTTTTGGAATTGGTGGTAAGTTATAAATGCTGTAAAGGCTTTTATGAGGATAGTGAGGCTCAGGTTTTGGGTGTGTGAAGAGAGGGAAGAATACTTCCCCCGGGAAAAATAGGTTTAGGGGCAGGGGTGGTAATGTCACCATGGTTGTTTAAATATTTTTTAGATGGGGTTTTAAAAAAGTAAAAGCAGGGGTTTTGGGGGAGGGGTGGGGTTAAAATTTTGGGGGGGAAAACAAAAATTTAAAATGGGGAAATTTACCACAGTTACTTTTTGCTGGGTGATATTTGCTTATGGGGATTCTAAAGAAAAATTGCAAAGGGTTTGTGGATGAGTTTGGAATGTGGGGAAAAGGGGAGAAAAATTGGGAAAATGAACATAGAAAAGGTAAGGGGGATTGAGGGTATCAAAAGGGTTTAGATTTAAAAAAAAAATTGGGTATCAAATTGGGGAGGGGGAGTATGGAAGAAGTGAATGTTTTTTGATACTTGGGAGTTGACGTGTCGGCGGATGGATTTATGAAGGATGAGGTTAATCATAGAATTGATGAGGGAAAAAAGGTGAGTGGTGCGTTGAGGTATATGTGGAGTCAAAAAACGTTATCTATGGAGGCAGAGAAGGGAATGTATGAAAGTATAGTAGTACCAACACTCTTATATGGATGTGAAGCTTGGGTGGTAAATGCAGCAGCGAGGAGACGGTTGGAGGCAGTGGAGATGTCCTGTCTAAGGGCAATGTGTGGTGTAAATATTATGCAGAGAATTCGAGTGTGGAAATTAGGAGAAGGTGTGGAGTTAACAAAAGCATTAGTCAGAGGGCAGAAGAGGGGTTGTTGAGGTGGTTTGGTCATTTAGAGAGAATGGATCAAAGTAGAATGACATGGAAAGCATATAAATCTATAGGGGAAGGAAGGAGGGGTAGGGGTCGTCCTCGAAAGGGTTGGAAAGAGGGGGTAAAGGAGGTTTTGTGGGCTAGAGGCTTGGATTTCCAGCAAGCGTGCATGAGCGTGTTAGATAGGAGTGAATGGAGACGAATGATACTTGGGACCTGACGATCTGTTGGAGTGTGAGCAGGGTAATATTTAGTGAAGGGATTCAGGGAAACCGGTTATGTTCATATAGTCGGACTTGAGTCCTGGAAATGGGAAGTACAGTGCCTGCACTTTAAAGGAGGGGTTTGGGATATTGGCAGTTTGGAGGGATATGTTGTGTATCTTTATACGTATATGCTTCTAAGCTGTTGTATTCTGAGCACCTCTGCAAAAGCAGTGATAATGTGTGAGTGTGGTGAAAGTGTTGAATGATGATGAAAGTATTTTCTTTTTGGGGATTTTCTTTCTTTTTTGGGTCACCCTGCCTCGGTGGTAGACGGCCGACTTGTTGAAAAAAAAAAAAAGTATATGTACTCTATATATTATTAAGAGGGCTAGTAACCTCTTCTGTATGTATTACTAAATTTAAATAGAGAAACTTTCGTTTTTGTTTTGGGGCCACCCTGCCTTGGTGGGATATAGCCGGTTTGTTGAAAGAAGAATATTATTAAGAGTAAACCTTGCTATACAATCAGTATTCCTGTATGATAACTGAATATCAAGGGCCATTTGGTCCATTAGTGATGTGTAAGAAGAGGTCTGATTTGTGTTAACCAAGTAGGCACTTGTAATTGCATCTACTGTCTTGCATGTTTATTGCCAGTTGAAACAACTCAGATTAAGAAATTCACACTTTTGTTTTTAGTTATTTAAAAAGAAATATGGCAGTAAGTGGAGAGAATAAATATTTCTTAATTCTAGAGTTGTTGATGGCTATTGCTGTAATTCTTAATCCATTTTTTTTTTTTAGTTATCTGACATGCTTTGTACCACAATAAATTATTAAACACTTCAGTTTTATTTAAAACAAAAAGAATTATAAATGATATTACTAAGTAATTTTTAAATATTACAATAAACAGTTCATGAAGGGCCATAAATAACTTGAAGGTTTAGACCTTGCAAAAATCTCTTTATGGAAGTGAGCAGCCAGTTGCATATTTCTTAGATTTTTTTTTTTATTAAAGAAAATCAAGGATGGAGCAGAAAAGTATGACTAACGAGTAATCTGATTGTTAAAGTAAGAGGTAAGGGTCATCCTAGGAAGATTTGGAGGAAGGAGATAAAAGAGGTTTTAGGTGCTAGCTTGTGTGAATGTTAGACTGAAGTAGTGGAGACTGTAATTTTTATTGCTTGAAGTGCTGTTGGAGTGTGTGCAAGGCGACATTTATGAAGGGATTCAGGGAAAACTGTTAGTTGGACTTAGTCTTGAAGGAAAGAAGTATAGTACCTGCACCCTGAAGGATTGGTGAGGATGTTGCTGTTTGAAGGGTCACTCTAATTGTGACATCTGTGCATTCTTTCAAGACAGCTACCATATTGAGTGAACGATATTAAATTTTGGTAGCTAAGCAACTATTAAGAATAAGAATTTTATATCAGCATGATACATGTTTGTACAAAGGAGTTTAACAGTTTAGTGTACATGCCAAGAGCCCCTTTATATGCAGAGCATTTTGGGCAAACTTAAGATTAATAAGGCAATAATAGTGAAGTAAATTTGTACATATGGTCATTAGGTGAGTTTACAGTGAATACAAGAGAATGTAGACTGTCTTAGGAACTGTTCAATTGAAATTAAATTATAATAATTGTAGAATATGACCAGAGTTTAAATTAGAGAAGGGTTGAACAAAGCTTGAAGTTTGTAAATGTTGGTTTTCGTTTTTTACCTTAGTTCTAAAAAAAATATTTTGCATTCATTTACCAATTGGTTTTTTTAAAATTTGCTTTTCCCTTTTATTAATTTACTTACCTCAAGATTTTATCAATTTTGGAAAATGATATCTTTCACCCCAATATATATGTAATATTTCAAGTTGGGTAACAGTGAATTTTTTCAGGCAAGCTGCTAAATCTTTTTTTGTAAATTTGACAAAAAATTGGGAGATCGGGAATTTCAAAACTGGGTTTTACTTTTTGATGAAGGTCTAAGCTCAAATCGGAGAGTCTTCCCATCTTTGTTTTAAAATGCTTTCAGCATTTGAACACAAAAAAAACTGGGTGATTCTTTCACGCTTCATTTTGGAAGTTTCCCAGGTAAGTGATGCATAAATGCTAAGTTTGAATTAGTCATTTGGTGTGAATATTTATTTGTTGAAATCATGTTGTTGGATGTGACCGAGAACTTTAAAATTAAAGCTTTAGTATATAATTATTATAAAAAAAATGGACTTTTGGGGAATACTGTTTTGTATATAGTGTAAATACCAGGTTCTTTAAGTAGCCTGTTTAAATAAATAGACGTACATTCATTTTTTTTGAACATTTGCTTTATGAAAATTAAAGCAAAGGTATGACCCTTTATTTTATTATTTAGTTTGGAAATTTGAGAAAAAACTTACACAGTCCCGAGTGAATTTTTGTCAATATAGACTTGCATATTGCAGTAATAGTGATATACAGTACTTCATTGTTTAATATTTTCAAGGTACCTCTGAACTCTTGGTGGCGCTTTTCACTAAGAGAACGTATAAATCTTCAAGACCTTGTGGCTGATCCTTCTCCTCCAAACCCATCATCAGAGCACATCCCTCCACCACCAACCCCAACTCAGCAAGATGCAAACCACATAATTGATGCAAATAGTTTAGACATGGTAGTCTCTATTTTATGGAAGGTAAGAGGGAGAATACTTCCCGGTAAAAGTAGGTCTTAGACAGGGATGTGTAATGTCACCATGGTTGTTTAATATATTTATAGATGGGGTTGTAAAAGAAGTAAATGCTAGGGTGTTGGGGAGAGGGGTGGGATTAAATTATGGGGAATCAAATTCAAAATGGGAATTGACAGTTACTTTTTGCTGATGATACTGTGCTTATGGGAGATTCTAAAGAAAAATTGCAAAGGTTAGTGGATGAGTTTGAGAATGTGTGTAAAGGTTAAAAGTGAAAGTGAACATAGAAAAGAGTAAGGTGATGAGGGTATCAAATGATTTAGATAAAGAAAAATTGGATATCAATTGGGGAGGAGGAGTATGGAAGAAGTGAATGTTTTCAGAATATTGGGAGTTGACTTTGTTGGCGGATGGATTTATGAAGGATGGGGTTTAAAATCATAGAATTGATGAGGGAAAAAAGGTGAGTGGTGCGTTGAGGTATATGTGGAGTCAAAAAACGTTATCTAGGAGGAAAAGAAGGGAATGTATAAATTATAGTAGTACCAACACTCTTATATGGATGTGAAGCTTGGGTGGTAAATGCAGCAGCGAGGAGACGGTTGGAGGCAGTGGAGATGTCCTGTCTAAGGGCAATGTGTGGTTTGTAAATATTATGCAGAAATTTCGGAGTGTGGAAATTAGGAGAAGGTGTGGAGTTAATAAAAGCATTAGTCAGAGGGCAGAAGAGGGGTTGTTGAGGTGGTTTGGTCATTTTGAGAGAATGGATCAAAGTAGAATGACATGGAAAGCATATAAATCTATGGGGGAAAGGAAAGAGGGGGTAGGGGTCGTCCCGAAAGGGTTGGAAAGAGGGGGGTTAAAGGAGGTTTTGTGGGCGAGGGGCTTGGACTTCCAGCAAGCGTGCATGAGCGTGTTAGATAGGAGTAAATGGAGACGAATGATACTTGGGACCTGACGATCTGTTGGAGTGTGAGCAGGGTAATATTTAGTGAAGGGATTCAGGGAAACCGGTTATTTTCATATAGTTGGACTTGAGTCCTGGAAATGGGAAGTACAATGCCTGCACTTTAAAGGAGGGGTTTGGGATATTGGCAGTTTGGAGGGATATGTTGTGTATCTTTATACGTATATGCTTCTAAACTGTTGTATTCTGAGCACCTCTGCAAAAGCAGTGATAATGTGTGAGTGTGGTGAAAGTGTTGAATGATGATGAAAGTATTTTCTTTTTGGGGATTTTCTTTCTTTTTTGGGTCACCCTGCCTCGGTGGGAGATGACTGACTTGTTGAAAAAAAAAAAAAAGAATATATGGGGCAAAGTTAATAATTATCAAAAAATTTTATGCTTTATTTCTTTTCATCCTTACCATCTGGAAGAGAGAGAGACATTAAAACATGGACGTGATTATTACATTTCATGAAGTGTTTAAACCCATCAGTGCCTTTCAGCACAAGGAGTGTTGGAGGCTGGATCTCCTGTCCACTTATTACAATTTGGACTCCGATCAGTTAGTCATTACAACAAAGTCAGCAGTCTTAGTGATGTTCTCTGTGCAAGGAAAAAACATTTCTGGCACATGTCCTAATCAACAGTACACTTGAATATCTAGGTCTGAAATTAGTAGTGAATATGAAAACTAAATGGCAGGAGTGGTAAATCTTGTGATTTTTTTTTTTAGCGCACACAGGCGATCCCCCACTGAGGTAGGGTGACCCATAAAAAAAAAGGAAACTCATTTCACCATCACTCATTCAACAGCCATATTGTCTACTAATAGGAAGCAAAATATATAGAGAAGATGGAAAGGTATATGGTGGCCTGAAGGCCCTCGTGCCATTTTATTGAGGTTTTTACACGAGACATCACAGGTTACTGAATATTATATTGTCAGCCATATTGGACATCAAGCCACATTGATAACCACAGAGGTACACTTACTGTGCATGATTTTACGATTTCTCTATTCTAAATCTCTACAATGATTATTGCTTTCTGTACTGTTGGATGAAGTTATTGGCAAGATGGTAGGGCAGAATTGCAGAATTTCATCTGAGTTTTCAACAAACTGCAACTTACCTACTGATTCTGAGACTGAGCAGTATTATAGGAACAGTGTCTTTGTAATCCTTGACTATTATTTCAGACTAGCTTGTTCTACTGGGTCTGGTGCAGTGCTCCATCCTTGAGTGGAGGTGACCAGACTGGGTGGGTCGTTGGGCTAATCTGGGGTGGGTGGGTCATTGGTCTAATCCGGGGGGGACGACATGGACCTGCTCCGCATGGGTCAGTAGGCCTGTTGCAGTGTTCCTTCTTTCTTATGTTCTTATGTTTCTTTAGCAGTTCAACAGTCTGAGTAATGAAGATTACTCTTAGCAGTTGAACAGTTTGTAACATTACAGCAGTGGGAGGTCTCAGTGAAAATGTCATCTTCAAGCAAATATATTCAACAAACATTAAATTGTAATGCAAATCAGAGGACTTGTATCAAGAAATGCCTGGTCTTGAATTCTCAGCTGATATATTCTAATACTGTATCAGAATTTCATCATGTATTTTTGTCAGTTCACCAGCATCTAGGGCTTCAGGTGAATGCACCTTAAATGTGTTGAAGCAGATAAAGAATTATCACAAGTCCACTATGGAATAAGAACATTTGAATGGACTCATCGTGCTGAACATCGTTTGTGACATGGCATGAAAACTAGATTTTACCTGTTTTGTCAGTGCCTTCATAGAGAAGAGCCCAAGAAAAGCCCTTATCAATTAATAAAATATTCAAGTTGTCTGGTTGTAGTATGTTCTTTGCCTTAAAACCACTTGACTCACGAAATCGTAATGACACGATTGCAAACAAACCATACCACGGGCAGGATTTGAACCCGTGGTCAGAGAGTCTCAAAACTCCAGTGGCTAACACGATGGTCTGGAGTTTTGAGACTCTCTGACCGCGGGTTCAAATCCCGCCCGTGGTATGGTTTAAAACCACTTGTTTCCATGGTAGCAGATGTTCAAAATGTATGGAATAAGTGGTAGGTTACTTGAACAGTAAAGAGATTTTATGTGGATAGTGAGGTGCAGGTTAGCATGTGTAAGAGAGAGGGAGATTAGTTTCCAGTAAAAGCAGGTCTTAGACAGGAATGTGTGATGTCTCCATGGTTGTTTAATATATTTGCAGATGGAGTTGTAAAAGAAGTGAATGCTAGGGTGTTAGGAAGAGGTATGGGATTGAAAGAGTAAATCTGGTACAGAGTGAGAGTTGTCAAAGTTGCTTTGTGCTGATTCCACACAGGTTTTCTGGGAGATTCTGAAGAGAAGTTGCAAAGGTTGGTAAACTAATTTGGTAAGGTATGTAAAAGAAGGAAATTAAAAGTAAACATAGGAAAGAACAAGGTGATGAGAGTATCAAAAAAATATAGGCAGTGAGAAATTGGATACTACATTGGAGAGAGTGTGAAGGAAGTATAACTGCACCAACATAGTTGTATGGGAGTGAAGCACGGGTTTTAAATGTTGCAATGAGGAGGAGGCTGGAGGCAGTAAAGATGTCGTATTTGAGGGCAGTGTGTGGCATGAATATTATACAGAGAATTTAGAGTTTGGAGATTAGGAGATATAGAGTCACCAAAAGTATTAAGAGAGCAGAGGAGGGGTTGCTGAGATGGTTTGGACATTTAGAGAGGATGGAGAAAAATAGGATGACTAGGAGAGCTTGCAAATGTAGGATGGAGGGAAGGAGGGATAGGAATCATCCTAGGAAAGGTTGGAGGGAGGGGGTAAAGGAGGTTTTGAGTGCTAGGAGCTTAGACATCCAACAGACTAGTGTGAGCCTGTTAGATAAGAGTGAATGGAGGCAAGTGGTTTTTATGATTTGACTTGATGTTGGAGTGTTATTAAGCTAAGAACTATGAGGGATTCAGGAAAGCCATTTAGCTGGACTTAAGTCTGGAGGTGAGAAGTACAGGGCCTGCACTCTGAAAGACAGCTGGGGATATATCAGTTTGGAGGGTCAACTGAATTGTGATGTTGGTGCCCTTTTGGCAAGGTTGATTGAGTGATACTGAAAGTGTTTTCTTCTTTGTTGGGTCACCCTTCCTCAGTGGGCAATGGCCAGTGTGAGAGAGAGTTAGAGAAAGTAAGTTAGTGAGTGAGTGTTGGTTTATTTATTTTCATGTATCTTTTTATGTTAGGTGCATCAAGAGCGGAATTTTAACTTGAAGGGTTAGCCACCCAGGATAATCCACTGAGGTCAGTGCATCATTGGGGACTGTCTGTTTTCTTTCCATTGGGGTCCTTAAATCTTCTTCGCCCAGGATGCAACCCACAACAGTCAACTTTATTTATTTATTTATTTATTTATTTATTTATTTTATTTATTTTATTTATTTATTTATTTATTTATGTCTTTGCAAATAGTACATTGAGATCATGTATTTACAATAATGGGTTGCAATGCAAAGAGAGCCTCTATTATGCCTAGGCATTATGGGCCGACTTAACATTATTAGCTTGTTGATTACTTAACACTAAGAATTATATCATTGTTGTACAGTAGATTATTAATTATAAGTGAATCTAATGTATATAAGACAAAAGATATATTCATTTTGTTTTTTTTCAATAAGTCGGCCATCTCCCACCGAGGCAGGGTGACCCAAAATGAAAGAAAATCCCCAAAAAGAAAATACTTTCATCATCATTCAACACTAAAAAGAATTTTGGTGGTGCTTTTTGTGAAACAATGATTCAATTATATTCCTGTCAACAAGTACACACAGCTTTGTGACCTGCAGTAGCAGGTTGAAATTACCTCATCCAGAACACTTCCTCTAGTTCAGTCAAGAGTGTGCTCATTGTTTCTTTCTGTACAAAGTAAATACCACTTTCTGTCATATAAACATCACTTATGTCCTACAAACCTAGAAGCTATGACAATTGGGCAGGACAATTGAATGATAGTATTAAAAGTTTGTCATAATGTTTTCTTAGTGACTGTCTCATTGATGACAATGTAAATAGTGACTTAGTGGATATTAGGGTATTATAATCTATTCTTTTTGGTTCTTATTTTGTTTCCAGATTCCTGTTTTGTATTTAATGATTTACCAAATTATGCAAATCTGCAAAGGGAGTTATCATGTCTGATTTCTTACTGAAAACATTTCTGCACCACTTATACACCTGTATTTAAAATCTGATTTTTTTTTTTTTTGTGACAGGGTGAAAGAGGTGGACGGGAAATATGGGGACAACATAGCATTTATCTGAAAAATCTTGGAGATGGTGTGAGCATACCTAGCTCACCTCTGTGTCAAGCTGGAGAAGAGGAGAAACCCCCTATAAGAATCATTCCAGAAACTTCCCTACAACCATTGCAATCCCCTCTTCCTCAAGCTTCCAAGCTAAAACACTTAGTCAAGATCTCTGCTCAGTTTCCTAAATGCTTGGAACATGATTTTATTTCTAATAGGTAAGTAAATGATATCTTTTACATTTACACCCTTAAATGTACCATAGGTTCTGTCTCCTGCTACTTTCTTTAACCCTTTGACTGTTTTGGTCGTATATATACGTCTTACGCGCCACTGTTTCGGACGTATTTATACGCGTAAATTCTAGCGGCTTCAAATCAAGCAGGAGAAAGCTGGTAGGCCCACATATGAGAGAATGGGTCTGTGTAGTCAGTGTGCACCACATAAAAAAAATCCTGCAGCACGCAGTGCATAATGAGAAAAAAAAAACTGACCGTTTTTTGGATTAAAACGCTGAATTTGAGGTGTATTTTTGTGTAGTATTTATCGTTGTATTCTCGTTTTCATGGTCTCACCTGATAAAATGGAAAACATATTACAGAAATAGAGATGATTTTGATTAGTTTCACGACAAAAACGACCTTGAAATTGAGCTCAAAGTAGCGGAAATGTTCAATTTTTACCAGTGTTCAGGAGTAAGCAAATCACACCACACGTCCAGTACACGTCAACTGGGGAGTCTAAGATTCTTTCACTAGTGCACTGATATTATTTATACCATTTTTACAATAATGCAGTATAACATTAAATTTTGTATTTTTTGTATGAATAAAAAATCAAAATAGAAAGCAATAGTAATATAAGAGGGGCCTAGAGACATGACTAATGAACAGATGATATGTTATTTTAGTGCCAAGAATGTCTACATTGTTTATTCTGGACCCTATTTTGAAATTGGCATCATTTTTAATTTGTGTGAAATTGGCCAAATTGGCAATTTCTGACCACTTTATTGGGTAGTTCAAATCGGTAAATGGGCAGTTTCTTGTACTCAACTGATAGAAAAAATGGAGTTCTAAAGAAATAGCTATGAGTTTGGTCAACTGGAACAACGGAATTGGCCAAAAACAGGGCTCAGAGTCGGCGAAATCGCCGATACGTATATGTCGCCGAGACCGCTAACTTCGCAGGAGCATAATTCCACGAGTTTTCGACCAAATTTCGTAGTTTTGGTGTCATTACCATCGGGAAAAGATTCTCTATCATTTCAGTTTTTTTTTCCCCAAAAAAATTTGCGACATAGAATGACAATTTCAGAAAGGGGCTTGCGACGGTCAAAGGGTTAAAGAAA